ATCCAGCATCTACAACTGGTGGGAATCAAAGTATTTTCTTTATCGGATAAACAAATTCGCCCATAGGTATGCTCAGCAAGCTTAGTCGTCAGTTGTATCTTAGACTGGAGGCATCTTATGAAAAATTATCTCATATAACCGCTGAAATGATAAAACCTTGCATTGTTCCAAACCGCGTTCCGGACCAAACACTGTCACTGTGTGAATGTTCAAAAATGTGTCCAGTATTTTTTTTCACGCTCTTGATGTAAGCTTAGCTTCCACTCATCTGATACCATCTTACGAACATTTTTGTTATGACCACGTGAAACACGTCCAAATATCTGAATCACGAATGACATAAACCTGTCTGTCTGGCCTAGACAAGGTACTGCCCCCCCCCCCCCCCTTTCACCAACGTGAAACAGTGCCTTCAGAGTCCCAGGTACTTCTTCAAGACCCTGGGTATCTAAGGGCCCTGTTTAGATACGTCAAATGGACGATGTTTCGGGAGGCATCAGCCTGCTCGGGTACGACATTACATTCGGATACTAAAACACGAGGTAACGTACAACGGCAACGCTCGGCTGGACGGACATATTTGCAACAGCAAAAGTACCTAAGCGGACAAGACTGAAAATGACCAGGTGCGTGCTTAGCCCCTTCCACTCGTTTTCCATTCCACCGAACGCCCTTTGAACTAGCATGATTACTGTAAATGAATCCCTGAGACGGTGTAATGAACAGTCATTGCCGACTTCAGCAACGGGCACTTTCAGGTTTCCTTTATGTTATGTATGTTTGCCTATCACTGATCTTCCCCTGCTTTTCCGCTGTTAGCGTATATTTCTTCCCCCCCCCCCCCTTGCACGAAGTGCCGATGCTTGTTGGCATCCGACGGAGGCCCTCCATCCGTTTCATCCGGGCCCAAATAAGTCGAGCCGGGGTTCTTGAGCCGCTTATTGAACCCGCTACGTCTGGGTCCCAGATGGTATCAAGGGCCTTTGTATGTCGGTGAGGGGCCCTGCGTCGATTCCGAGTCAACCGACCCGGTCCGAGGGCCCTCAGCGTCAGGGAAGGGACCAATGTTTCATGTATTCCTCTGAAGGCCTCCGGACCTACCATGGGTCCCCAGCCCCACGAGTCGCCAGAGTGGCAGCCGGCAGGCAACCCGAAATGGGACGGAAAAGTCCTTCAGCCCACAACCCAGAAATGTTTTGGCCCCTGTCTTAACTGAACACTCTGCTGCGCTCTGGCTGTGGGAGGAGGTGTTCAGGGACCCCCTGGGAGAAAGAACGCGGGCACTGCGGGGGGGGGGGGGGGGGCAGTGGGGCAGCTCGCCCCTTAAACTTGAAAGCTGGCAAGCTGTTCTGATCAGCAAAAGGCTCATTATTGGCTTTATTGACTGTGGAAAGCCCATTTTGACCCGTAGAGAGCTCGCTCTGACCTGAGGAAGATCCATTCCTCACTTAGAGGGTCCACTCTGGCTGAACTGATGGTCTGGAAAATCTGGAATGAACTGTAGAGTTCTCATTCTGGACTACAGAGGGCCCATTACGGCCTATAGGGGGCGACTTCTGGTCTGTATTGATCCATTTTGACCTATGTATGGCTCATTCTGGCTCGTGGTAGGTAGGGGCTCAGTATCGAATCTTATGGGGCAAATTTTGGCATTTTGGAGTTCGCCACCCCAACTTAAACATAGTTCCCGCGTCATTGCACGGGAGGACTCTTCCCGGCTTGCTCAGTCGGAAAAATGGCTATGCTGAGCCAGAAAAGCAAAACAAACAAAAAAACGAACAGAAGTTTATGTAATAACCGTAAGAGCCTCTTATGCTGCCCAGAGACTGCTGCGGCGGTGAGCTCCATGAGTTAAACTCCTGGGCCCCTTCTGGCCACTCAGTGGCCATATGGCTTCCTGGCCGCCAGGGGCACTCTGGTTCTTGAGGGCCCTTATAACTACTTAGAGCCCTGTGATCTTTCAAACTGCCAACCGGTCACCAGGGGTATTTCGAAACTTCCCGGAAACTTTTTGGTTGCTCAGGGGTCGCACTGACCGCTCAGGGACCCGCAGTGGCTGCGCCCCTGGGGACCTCTGTGTACCCAAGGTCGCTCGTGTGCCGTTTTAGGCCCTCAGGCCCCTTCGGCCCAAAGAGGACCCCTCTGGCAGGTGAGTCAGGGTGACTTCCGGTGACTGTTCAGGGTTTTTACTAGCCGTCCGGGCCCCTCCGAACACCAATGGGCACGTCTAATTGCTCAGGAGCCCTTCTGGCCACCTAAGTGCTCACTTGGCTACTCAGAGCCCATTGGTCCGTTCAGCGGCCCGTTTGGTCGCCAGAAACACTTAGCTGTGCACTCGTGATCCTCTGGACTCGCGGAGTCCTGTTAGCTGTTCAGGGCGGTTTTGGCTGTTCCTTCCTCCTCTACGAGGAGCGAGAACAGGACCCCTAAGACTCCTTTCGGCCCCTCGTGGGGCTTTCTGACTGCTCGTGAGCCGCTCCGACCGCCCAGCGGCCGTCTGGACGCCCAGTGGTCGAAGTAGACGCCCCAGACGCTCTTTGCATTGTTTCCCTTGCTGCTCAGTGGCCTGTCTAGCCTGTAATGGATAATTTTGGCCACCAAGTAACTTGTCGGCAACTGGCATAGCTATATGACTGCTCAGGAGTTCATTAGACGCTCAGGATATGGCTGGATATCTAATAGGGCCCCGGTACCCCGGGCCGCGGAAAACCGCATAAGCCGTTTGCCTTGAACCTAGGGTTCCGAGGAGCTCAAAACGGTGTCCGGGGTAGATCAGAGGCGGGTTCCAGTGGAACCAATTTGCCCATAAGATGGCTCTTTTCGCGAGGCGCGGGGCAGAGGCAAATGTCCGTATTGAATGAAAAATGTAAAAACGAAATTTTGCCGCCAAAATAAAACTTCAGGCAGTACTTCAGACCGATCTGTGCTGAAATGCATGACTAAAGCAGAAGTAGAGCCCCGGATTGACCCGGAGAATACGGGCACCGTCACCTAAAACTCTGACGTGCTTTGAGCCCCTCGGAAATGTTTGTGATGCCCATTGATCATTAAATTCTAGTTTGAATAGTTGGGACGGAGTTTTGCTTTTTAAAACAGTACTGCTGATGAACACGTCTAACCCAAATTTCCGCGCACCTTAGGCGCAGAAAAATACTGATGACTTGCTCTGAGCCCCTTTGGGAGGGTTAATAATACCCGTAGACGACTTAATTTCAATCTGATTATCTTGGCGCTCAAAGAGATGCAAAAGTTTCTCGATTTGTTTTTGCTGTATAAACCGGCACCAAAACACAACTTAATCCCAGTAACATTAAATGTCACTTGGATTTTTAATCTATTTTGAGGTATCCACACCTAAGATTCTTAGGCGTAGTCACGTCGATAAAAAATGGTTGAAATGTAGAAGTTTTAAGCGCGTGCCAGGCTACTAATCAAACGGCAAAAGCACGCTAAAGTAAAACAAAAATGTGCAACGAAAGACGAGTTGAGCTTTTCTATGAGATTGGTGACATAGTGGAATGGGTCCGGCATGTATTTAGGCGTGACGCATGAGCTCAAACACGTGCCAGGTAATCGGCACAACGGCGATAAACTCGCGCTCGAGTGGGCGACAATTTGCCGCCGTCCCCGAAAGCTTTCCAAAATGATTTCCGAGCGGCGTGGCCTGGCCGTGCCAAATTTTTCAAGGCTGTAGACAATGAAATAGCGGATCGCTTGGTATAAAACAGTTAGATGTGCATTGTAAGGACGCTGACTGGTCTAAGTCAGACCGTGGCTGTCAGCGAAGGCCATTTCTAAGGAATCGGTCAGTCTGATGCGACAACGGGTGTTGTACGACGCCATAATCTCTGAGCTAGTTTATTAGACAATGCAACAATTGAATACAAAATTAAAGCAAATTCCGCTAACCTAAGGTCACGCATTACGATCGGACCTAGATCAACACTAACCTTTGTTTTTGTCCGAGAGCGTGCTTCATGGGTGGTTTCTGGTGCTCAAATGGAATTTATCAGTAACAGGAAGCGTAACAGACATATTCCATGGACTTCTTAAAGGTCAGAGTGGATTACGGACAATATTACCCAGGCCAACACTTTGTTTTAAGGAGCATTCCGCGTAGCACAAACCCTGACGCCTATTCGAATGACACAATAGAAGCAGTTTCGTAGGTGTTTGGTAACTTTGATGTTCTAAAGGTGAAATAATGTCACTGACGTTGAGTGAAAACAAATGGCATTTTGCTTAGAGCAGGTATCTAAGTTACAGGCGGGTGCATGAGAAGGCCTGGGACAATTTGGACAAAATCTGATAATTGACCTCAAGGTTATGACCTAGAAACCTAAATTTTGACCCAAGTGAGCTCATGTACAGGAGAACCCACCCTGCGGCTTTGGTCCATCTAGCTCTCTTAGTTTATGAGATCTCAGGGGTCAGATTGACACCACCCGAGCGAGTGGTATCCAAACAGCCACCCGGGTGAGTGTAAATGCTTAAGCCAAAATATCGTGCACCTTCGGCAAGCTAAAAAGTGTAGCACGCTTTCCGTTGCCACCAGGTCTGTGCACTCGTTTTTTCATAAAAAGTGCAGTTTTTTAATCGAGATCAATAGGCCATTCTAAACATAAAGTGGTTTAAAACCGAGGAGTTCCTAAGTTGGGGGAGCGCGTCCTTTTGTGGCTAACTGGACTCTAACGACCCGGAGCCCTTGGATCCTGGACCCCCCATTTTCCGAGAACGATCCCCAGCCCTGTGAGCTTCGCTGAGATAATGAGACGGGCAATGTCTGTTGTTTTTTCATGGGTGACGGCTAGAAACCTAAAAAAGACGTTGCGATGCCTTCCAGATAGCGTAGGCCGTGTCTGAACAATGCAGAGCTGCAGTGAAAGTGAGGAAACGCGGTGAAACAGAGGGCGCCTGGGCAGCCGGCTAGTACCGAAAGACCCCGAAGACACCAGTCGGTTGGCGGACCCGCCCGGCAGGCTGTGTCGGTGGCTGCTGACCTGTGCACCACCCGGCTGTACTGGTGACTCCAGTCTGGCCGGCAGCCCGGGTCGCCCGGCGACACGTGACCCACGATGTGGACCGCCTCGCCGGCCGCCTCGGCCGCCGCCAGCTGGCGCGCCAGCCACTGCAGCTGGCCACCCGGATCAGGCTGCTCCAGCAGCGTCCAGAAGTTGTAGCGGTAGCAGTAATTGGTGTTGACCACCAGGATCCTGAGGCCGGCCTCGGCCGCCTGCGGCGGGGCGGGGTGTTACTGACCGGTGTGCCACCGGCCCCTGGGAGGAACTGACCCCTGGGCAGCAGAGGCGGCGTCTGAACAAAGCTTGGAAAGGACGTTATAATGAATACGGACAAGGCACAGCGAGATGGCGGCAAACGGGCTAGAAGTCAGTCATTTGCATGCCATAACAATGGCTGCGTAAAAACCTATACAGCCTAATTTTAAACAAAATGTGGGGTGTTCTCTTTGCCTACGGCTCGCAGCAACCTTGGTAATAGCGTACCGGAAGTAGCAGAACGCAGGACACTGCTCTGGAGTCCCTTGATCCAAGACATTTCAGCCAACTCCAACAGCCAACTGGCACAAACTCCCGATAAAAATGTAAGCAAGGAAATGATATGGCCCGCAGTGGGACCGAGGAAGAGATGAACTTCCTGCATGAGGTTGGCGCTATGAGTCCCAGGAGGCATCGGTGCAGATGAACATGGAAGTGCTTGAGAACGGAAGAGTCGGGCAATGACCTGTAACCTTCAAGTTAGGAACATTTCCGGTGGGACCGAGGCGTTGGCCTGGTGAAGACGTCAGTCTCCACCTGTGGATCGTTACTGGCCTGGAGCTAGCTGGTGGCCGACTTGCATCCCTCCACATATAGTTATCGCCATCTAGTGCCTAAATCATGCACTTGAAATTTGCGGTTGTCCGTTGATGGTACGCCCGCAATCATCGCGGGCATCGACGCAGGTAGAGCCAACGGCGCGATCAGAAGCGGCCGTAGAGGTCTCGGCAAGCTAAAAATGTTTGTGGAAACCCACCAGAACTTGATGATTACCATGAAATACAAACCCAATGCTTTCAACAAACTGTTATTTTCCAGACAATGTACAGGGACTTCACGAAACATGAGGATTTCTTCTTCACCATGACCGAGGGGTAATTACTAGATTGCCGACGTGACTAAATACCCTAAATAGTCAAACCCCAGAACCCAATGTACTTTTTACTGGCAACCAAATGTGGTAAGAGGCAAATGCAATCATCGCAAACAGTTTCAAAGAGCCGCCAGCAAGCAGGCTTTGGAAGTAACGTGGCAGTCGCTGTATTTTACCCCAGCGATGTGAAACGGTCAAAAAAGTGTATGTCAGAGCACCGAACGCCACCATCGGAATCAGCAGAGGAAAGGCTTTGCGTGAGCCCGTCCTTAGCAAACTCGTGGATGGTTAGGGTTTGGAGAACGTGGTAGTCAGCGTATGGAGAACGATCAGACGTTTGTAGAAAATGTGTGATGCTTTGGTGCGCGAGCGACGAAGCTGACTCTGATGTTCAAAGTTTTTAACGTCAAAAAGAACGTATACCCCTTAACGGTATCAGTGCGACGTAAACAAAAAGCGATCATGTTTCATCACTATTGCAGTGGTCCGTTTAAGTCGTCATGGACGTTGTCCTACTTTTGAACGTTGAATTTTATATGCGGAAAAAGAGTGAATGCCATTGTATGCTATTATGGCGATGTTGCCACCACGCATCTGTCAGGAAAATCGTAGCAGGCCACAACATTTGACCCCCAACTTTTTACTTTCTCGTGGCTAATCGTGATAGACAGGACAAGCAGTATTTGTAAGCGTTATTGCCTACAGAAAAGTCAAATGTTTTTCCCCCAGTGGCAGGCAAGGGCTTACTAGCCGTGAAAGACATCCCGAAATTGCTGTTTACTTGCCCTTCTGTTGCAGACGTGATCTGTGTGATAACAGCTGTGGCGCTCAATCCGTTCAGACGTAATCACCCATCACCGGTAACAAACCCTGATATAGTAGTATCCCAGCGGGTCGAACGTCTCCGAAAAGCTGTGGTAGTGCTCCACGCCGTGGTAGAGGTCGGTGTTGTCGAGCAGGGGGCGCCACATGTCGTAGAGGGCGCTGAAGAGCCAGGCGTTGGAGAAGCGGCCGGCCAGGTGCGGGGGCGGGAAGCTGTTGACTGGATGGGTGTCGTGGTTGCCGAGGGCGGGCACCACCAGCGCACGCGGGAACACGTGCCGGATGGCACGTGTGACGGCACGGTTGGCCTCGATCGTCCGCCGCCGGGACGTGGCGTGCACATCGTGCGCGGCATTGTCGCCCGTCCACAGAATGTAGGCCACGTCCTGAAACACGGCACGGCACGTACGTCCTGGAACACGGCACGGTACGCGTGTACTGCAGCAGGAGCAGGAGACGGTGGTACGCCGCTGCCTTTGCCGTCTGGACTAGCAGCGGGATGCGACAGAAAGCTGCGGGCTTTGTTCAACGTCCCGTTTAGCGCTTTACATGGCGGAAGGCCCCTGCGAAGGTCACAGCTTTTATTGTGGTGTGCGTGAAGAGGACCAAGGCTGCAACAAGAGCCCACTAAGAGTACGGTGTATTTTATACAGTCTGATGCGTGCGTACGTCATTAGAGATGTTTTTCTAATGATGATCGGTGTTTCGGACGATGGGAATGGTCCCAACCTGACTGGCGCTCGGTTTACGCCGGTATGGTGTATATCTAACATCGTGTGCCGCAGATCACCCTTAGCAGAGCCTCTCAAGGTAGTGCTTATAGGATGGACACTGTAAATGTGGAGTTCAGCTGACATGGTAGTTCGAGATCAAGTTTACATGGGATCAAATCACTTAACTTATGATAACTAGCTTAGTGTTCGTTAAGGATCGATTTCAAATCAAGTTGACAGCCTTTACCACGAGTTTTGACACTTGAGACGGTAATACGCGCACGACAATCGCATCGAATAGCTCAGGAGCCGGAGTTCGTCGTTTCGCGCCCATCGCTGTCACGTACGGGATGCTGGTACTTGATGTGGCTGAGCATGGTGTCAAGCAGGGCGGGAGGCGTGTCGCAGTTCTCGTACGTGCCCCACACGCCGGCCGCGTGCTTCTTGGCGACACGAGGAAATCCTGCAGCCAGACAGACATTGTCACTCTCGTCATGCCACGGCGGCCACTGCGCTTGAGGTGACATCCGCGCGCGCGCGCCGTGTGAGCCGCCGGGCCGCAGCACGTGTTTCGACCCAGGCTGCCCGTTTGTCGACGACCAACCGCCGGACTGCCCCCCCCCCCCGCCCACCCCACTGTACAGCACACTCACGCGAACCACAAGGGACACCCATGGCCACAGCAGTTGGTGACATTTGGGCCACGATCCACTGTTTGGGGCCGATGGCTGGCGCAGGCTTCACAATTCAAGCGCGAAATCAAACCAAATTTTAAGACTTAGCAGCCAATACATTTAGACACACTCACCATCCTTGGCTCTGCAGCAGAACAGCTTGTTCTTGCACTTGGCATTGCTACCGGCCACGTAGTCCAGCTGGAGATGTATGTCAGCTAGGTGGAGCACCTTCAGCCTTTTGCCGTATCCTGCCTTCAAACGGAGACCACCATTCAAAGCACAGGCCTCCCGATTAGCCGACGATAGTGACGTAGAGAGCGCGTAGGCTGACATAGTTGACCAGTTCACGAACCACAAGCCCAAGTTGGCAGGCCAACCGGAGTGAGCATCCATGTCTCAATCACAATGTCTTAGATGGTAGCTGACCAAGGTTTCATGCGATTATAGGCTTAGGTTTTACTGTTGGGTGAGCTCTGCACACAGCAAAAGGCAGACACCCGACCTAGCTCTGGACGGCAGGGAGCTGAGGACACGAGGGATACAAGTCCTGCTCACGGATAGGGGCAGGCTCTCCCCGTCTGCGCAGAGCTACAGTCTCCCGTCCGACCCGGAGCACCTACCGGGGGCCGGTGCGTGTGGTGCGCGGACGGCGCGGGCAGCTCCACGGCCCAGTGTCGACGCGCTACGCTGAACTGACAGCTCTCGATGAGCACGCCGCACACCTCGGCCGCCGTCGCGCTCGTGTGCCGCGCGATGTAGAGCACCCGGTCCTGGCGGCAGGAGCGGACCGTCGGCGTCAGACTCTGGCTGTGTGCCGCTGGAGATCGCCGCGCGGCTGACCGGTGTCGCTCAGAGCAGCGGCGTCGCTCAGAGCAGCAGCGTAGCTCAAAGCAGCAGCGTAGCTCAAAGCGGCGGCGTCGCTCAGAGCCGCGGCGTCTCTTAGAGCGGCGACATCGCTCAGAGCAGCGGCGTCGCTTAGAGCGGCGACACCGCCCAGAGCAGCGGCGTCGCTCAGAGCAACGGCGTCACTCAGAGCAGCGGCGTCGCTCCGAGTAGCGGCGTCGTTCAGAGCAGCGGCATTCCTCAGACCAGCGGCGTTCCTCAGAGCAGCAGCGTCGCTCAGAGCAGCGGCGTCACTCAGAGCAGTGGCGACGCTCGGCGTAGCGGCGTCGCTCAGGGCAGCGGCATCACTCAGAGCAGCGGCGTCGCTAAGAGCTAAGAGCGTAGCTACGAGCAGCGAGACGCGATACAAGAAGCCGGCGTGCGCCAACAGCTTTCAAAGGGCTGTTTTGGCAACGCCGAACTGAGTCAGATTGTTGCCTAGTCATGCTTTCGTACTTCGTTACTCTTGCCTAAGAGGCCTGGATGTCTCGCTCCGAATGAAGTTTTAGGATAATGCGTGTCACTAGTGATCGAGTTGGGGTTATTCTGAAAATGGTCTCAGGTGTTCTGGTGTTGAATTTGTTCCATTAGAAACACACAAAAAAACTTAGCTGCTGCAACTGCTTGCATGTGACTTGTGTTACTCGAGCTGGCAGCTGGCAAACCCGCTCACAGAAGCGCATGTTGCAAGCATCGTAATTTCGCCATCAGACTAAGTAGACAACTGGAGGAAGCCATGCGGCGGTCACACGCCTTATCACGAAGTATCACCCTCGACGCTCCCCACTCATCGGCCAGGCTTGCCCAAGCAACATAACATGGCTTACAGTGAATAATGAGTGGGCCTGTACAGCCTGCACAGCGCGTGTCGTCTGGCACCACGTGTAGGTAGTGGCCACACGTTCGAACCTTAGGTACCAAAGTCTTTCATAATCAGTTGCGAAACGTCATGGCTTGATCCTCCAGACCGTACCCTGTTGCCCGGTCATTGCACAAGGTCGGTGAATTACCTACGTCAGCGTGTTGCGTGGCGGCCTTCTACACCTGAGCTATTATCAGCTCTGCAGTCCGCTCACGCACTGTCGGCCCGCCGTGGCGGCCAACTCGTGCACTGTCACCGCGCAGCCGACACCGCAACGGGCGAAATCTCACGCGCCGCCGATCGTCGCGGATTTCGCCTCCGGTGTGGGCTTCACAGCCTACCTCTCGTCCCTGTACGCGCAGAAAATTACCGGAACAGACCGTCGTATTCGCCGTTTTGGTCGCTGGCTGGCTGGCTTGTTCGGCTTTTACGTAAATACGAGTTTCTTCTGCGCGCAATCTGCCTTGAGCCCGTCTGTAGCCTGATAAGCGGCGTATATGCGGTCTCGCCCCCCCCCCCCCCCCCCCATGTCCCGCACTCATGCTCTTATGTGGAGGCCCGTAGTGACCACGGAAGCACGGGAACAAGATGGCCTGTCTTGAGACACGAACAGTGCAACCGGCACCTACTATGTACATGACGCAAGCGTACCTGTGTCAGACACGTAAAGGTCATACATTCTGAGCCTGTTCTCCACTAGTCAGCACCCGCGACAGGAGGCAGGGTGCGTCGCTGACGACGTTCGGTGGGAGGGGATAACGAGTGCAGATGCACGCCGAATCGACGGAGGAATCTGAATCGACAAAGTGTGCCTGTCAACCAGCGCTTGGTGCATAATGCTGATTTCTAAAACGATGTCGCGATTTGTCACGGTGATATGACATGGTGCAGTGAATTACAACGGAAGGAAAAACGCGAAGAACATTCATGCCGCAGCGAGCGGGGTATGCCGGAAGCAGTATCTTCTGCATCAGAGTTTCACTCCGACAACGAGGTTGAGAATCAAGCATGCACGATTACGGACCTGAGGGACTGTGAATACAACTGGAAAAAGACACCCGTCAGGAAAATATTTGAGCCGGCGACGTCTACAGCTTGCGAAGACGAATGTTCACCGAGCCAGTGAAAGCTACGCAAAACGGACTCACTGAATGCACGACAATCGTTTGCTTTTTGTCACCACCGACGCTCAATCTCCACCGTACAGCGCGTCATAACCCGGCGGCCGTAAGATCAGCTGTTGCCCCGGTAGCTGCACATGCGGCCGCAGCCTGCCAGCTGTGATCACAGTAATCAGGTCGTGCGGCTTTGGCGGGGCAGCACGTACCTGCTCACAACGCGAATGGCTTATCGCACGGACTGCAGGGTCATGGCCGCATCGCTCCACTCCAACTTTAGCGATGCGCTGCAGCCGCGGGGGTGTATACTTTTGTAGTACGTACGTCACGCGCGACGCATGAATTTCGTGAAAATTTAACGACTAGCATTTTAAATATCAAGTCTCATATGATACGTACCCAGGGCGGGAGACTGGCATCTTCAATATATGTAGAATTCAGCGATACTTGTGAGCTGTTGAGCGGCAAAAATAAAGGGCGTCAAAAGCTGACTGCTTAAGATCGCCGGCAGCGCATATATCCATGGCAAATTTGAGCAAAACGTTATATGCCAGTAAAACATGCATGACATGGAGCAGTTACGGTCTTGGGCATTCATTTCATTATTTCGGTTTCTCAAGTGCAACGTGTCTAAGAACTTTCCAAAACGGTGGATATATCTTTGAATCGGGCACTCTTTGAACATTTTTTTTCTGAATTCAGGAGTTGTTCTATGGCACAATCCAAACACCAGGTACTGGTATACACAAATTCACGTGTGCAGCTGTACGTCGCCAGGGGGAACAGCCTTTTACTTGCAATGATTAGATAGTTAACGTAGATGAATGATCTTAGTGAGTTCTCACATATAGAGCCAAGCGCTGAATAACTGACTTCAACTCATGTCAATGGTCAAGACACCAAAATAGTTATCTAATCGAAAGTTACTGGGATCGAGTCCTACCAATCTCAGCTGCAGTTACACCCATGGTTGTCACGCAATACGCATGATATTTGATACATAAAGCATACCTTCATGAAAACCTACCTTCATATGTGCAGATATGCAACCTGAGATATGCACGTGCTCCATGCAGTAGGTTTTCGAGATCATAACTAAGCTATGAATGTCATGCAACAAGCGAGCACAGAAAGAAACAATGCGGATTCGGACTTCGTCTCGCTTCTTGGACTGATCCGCGATAGTTCGCTTGCTTCGTTCGTTCACTTGACATGTTTGAACGAGTAAACGCATGCATGACATGTGCCAGGCAAAGTGAACAGTTGGATCTGTTTATTTCAGTGTCTCAAGCGCAGTGCTTCTCCGAACTTATCTTTCTTATCTTGATACGTGCCGTGTGGAAGAACAGAATTGTTGTTCAGAGATGTAGTAAAACAGGATAGTTAAACATGTATTTTATGGGGCTGTGTGGTGCGTAAGCTTTGTTAGAACTACCAAACTAATACCAACTTCCAACTAACGTGAACAGCAGCATGAATGCACATAAACGATTATGTGCCTTCTCCGTATATTCACCCGCAGCTTCTGCCTTATCCTTTACCGCAGTCTCCCGCTTCATTGTCTCATTACCATAATGAGTGTTATGGTATCCATTATCCCTCCTCAAAATGGCATGCGCATTCGCCGGATAAAGTAACATCCTAGGCAACAACTGTAGCACTTGTTGCTTATTAAAAACGCCAGCAAAATACAACTCATTTTTGAGGAAGCTAACACAGCCTATTTTGCACAGCCATTTTTGAGAACGCTAGCTGCATAACTCCCAAAAAGATTGCATTGAGTGTTTGCTTGATACGGTACTTATTCTCGGTCATGGGAAACTTACGGAGTCCATGAAAAAAGGAAGCAAGCAAGACATACTCGGATTTGTTGTCTCTCGGTATAACAGTGTTTGTTCGCTCACTTCGGTTGCTCACTGACAACGTCTGAATAAATATACGTCGAATTCTGGCCAACGTATGGTTATTCTAATGTTAGTATTAGCTTATGGGCATTAAAAATCATGACCCACATATCGTACACATCAGTCCTTCACGTCCGCGGTTGGCCCATTGACCGATTGGTTTTGCCGGGCCCATCTTATAAGTGGGTGTAACTAGCAAGGACCATTCGACAGGCGCGCCTGAATCATATTTCACTTAAAACGCAAGCATTCATGAATAATACCTTCGCGTGAATACCTCGGTGTACCAGCATCATGATTGCAATGACGGCCGAAAAATAAGCAAAAATGGAATGGTGGTCCAATCAACTGAGCCTGTTCATTTCTCTCAAACTTGTTGCTCTTATTAACATGTCTCAGGGCATGAGCTTTCATGGATCATTGCATGCTGTATGGAATGCCACGGACCGCTTTGTGCAAACCTTCATAGCATCGTCATTCTCTACCCCATGCTGCTGTGTTCAGTGGGCTTCGGCCACGACCTTGCGTTCAATGCCCTCTGCTGTCGCCTTATTTTCAGGGTTTTTCACGACATGTCCGGCCTGGTAGGCAATGGCGCGATGTGAACAGTACGGAAAACAAACAATGACATTTGTATCCCATCTGTTTATAAGCGACCCTTGATATGACAAGTCATTTATTGTTAAGGCATTTCCGCAGTGCATCATTACCACACGGGAAACTAGACCGAAACTTTTGGTTCGTGTTTAAATATGGAGGCCCATCAGTTGTAAAGCGAATCGCCGTGCTATTTGTATTTCGCTGGAATTAGCCCGTGTAGCGGCACTTTCTGATCAGGCTGCACACGCCGCGCATGATACTATTCAGCATCGAGCTGTTGTCCGGCGCAGTCACAAGGTACGGTACCACCAAAGCTAGATATACTACATATACATATACATATATATATATATATATATATATATATATATGCATTCGTATGGTGGCACATGCGCCCCCTGCTGAAGCTTGGAGGGTCTAGGCTACCGTCAGTCTAGCAGCCTGACAGCCGTGCCCGCCCTTAGCCTCTCTACAACTTGTGGACATCAGCCAGTCATTGTTGTGTGATTGGTGCGATGTTTTCATGACATTGGGAGACTGATTTATCTTCACACGGTTATGATACCTGTTGCACACGCTGGTGTATGTGTGCCAGACACTTCGTTTATATGCATGAATGACTGTATGATCGCACGTCGTAGAGTCTTCCGCATACTTCCCCATTCTTACCGGCTTTGGTTTGCTGTGTGTCCGCCTGCAGTGTTAGTGTTAGCTGCGAGCCTTGGTTTTTACTGGGGTGCTTATGCTCAACGGATGACGCGGACACGTTTTTCACACAGGAAGTGTGCCAGTTACTGATTTGCCTGCCTGCAGGAAGCTGCCTCCGTGGCTGATGTCACGCTGTGAGTGTGTTCAAAGGAGACGGAGAGTAAGGATGCTTGCGCATGCAGCTCGGGGTAGCCTATCTGTGAGTGTGACCCCTACGCACTGACGTAGGCCGGTCGTGACCCTGGCTTACGAAGTTGTCCGCGCACATGACCCCATGACACAGAGTAATTAATTATCACTGGTGACTGTCATGCCGAAACGCTGGTCTCGGCGTACAAACGGATCACATTATCAGGGCGCATCGGCTGTGTGGAGCTACGGCGCCAGATCATTGACCTGTCAGCGGGCCACCATCCCGTTACACAGCAGCGGTAGCCATGGCCTTGGTGCAGTGACCTGTGAGTGACCCATGATCTGACCAGATCACGCTATTCACTTGGCGTGAGGATACTGAGCTAACACAGGGCTGGCCTCTCCAAAAGCGATCGTTCGTCTTCATCCGCAGTCGGGCGCTCGTTTTTTTTTCTCCGAGCCCCGCACAAGGAGTGAACAGCGCGGACACACGCCGTGCCACCCCGCCCACCGTAACCCCAGCGCCGTGGCCTGGCCTGCGGCTGTGCTCGGCACCCACCGACAGCCGCCGCGTCGCGCCGCGCTCGGCGGCTGTCGGCGCCGGGCGGCGCACTGACCTGCCAGCGGACGATGACGCCGGAGCAGACGGCGGCCGAGTAGCCGCCGAACACCGTACAGAGCAGGCGCGCCTCGGTGGTGACGGCCGACAGCGGCAGGCCCAGCCGCATCCACGACAGGTAACGGCTCGCCTTCACCTTGCACAGCGCGCAGCCCAGCTTGCTCAGCACTGGAATCACACGCGGCAACCAGCGGCATCAGCGGAAGGTGGGCGCCCCACCGGCCAGCAGTGCAGGCGAGCGTAGTGCGGCCAGCAGTACAGACAGGGTTGGTACTGGCCAGCGTTGCAGGAGGGCGCGGTACCGGCGAGCAGTGTATCGGGCGCGGTACTGGCCGGCAGTGCAGGCGGGCACGGTACCGGCTAGCGGTACAGCCGGGCGCGGTACCGGCCAGCAGTGCGGGCGGGCACGGTACCGGCTAGCGGTACAGGCGGGCGCGGTACCGGCCAGCAGTGCGGGCGGGCGTGGTACTGGCCACCAGTGCGGGCGGGCGCCCAGTGATACGTGACGTCGCGGAGCTGCATTGGGCACATCTGATCTTGCATGTGCTGTATTGGCGCTTTACGATGTAGGGACTGCAGCGATCTAAAGCCAAGATCAGTTGGCAGCAGATTCACAGCTCTTTTGTAATTGTTATCGTCATCACCGGGATATTAATACTAATTCTCGGTATAATCGGCATCTTGATTGGCGTGAGTGCGGATTATAAGCCCGTACAGGTCACCAGCTTGCCTAAAGCAGATATGAACAATTGTTGGCTATCTATCAAAAATTTTGTGCAGTGATGAAATTGCCGGGCTGCACGTCCCGTGCCGGTTTGTATTTTTATGGGTTCATTGCAGAGGTGACGTTCACATGCGGCACAGCCAGGGGCGTATTCACGTAGTGGCCTGCAGAGGTACTTGCCCGTCCTCCTTCATAAATTTTTGGCATGCCTTAGCATGTGTACGAATGAACGCGGGCACTAAAAATGTCAGGGTAGAAGCATAAAAATCAGGTGGATCAAGAACATGCGAAGCCTTTTGTTACAATACAACGCATTTTTACGCGCCTCCTGCAGCACGCTGACTGGGATTTCAGTGCAAAATTTGAGCTGCGCCCCCTCCCATCTTGCGTAATCTGCATACGCCGTCGGCTCAGTGTCATCCCGTGCAGCGTTCGGGTGGCAGAGACTGGATGGCATGTCTCGCAGACCTGCTCAACCTGCCCGGATGACCGTGCCATATCGGGTAGTTAATCACGTAGACAGAGGACAGGCGGCGCCTTTTAGCCCAGCCACTAGATCATCACCGCATTGCGCCCCGTACACATTCGGCACACAAGCTGCTTCGGCCTTCAGAAGCCACGGATCCGATTTTCACCGTGCGCATGCACTCTGCTTGCTGCAGTGATGAAATGGAAACACATCTTTCTAAGCGCAGGCGATACACACAAATCTGCCCGCAGCAATACGGTGATGTTCGACAGTTGCTCTCAGTGTAGGCGGCATACCATACAGGCATGCTGGACGACTGGGGCGGGGCATGTAGCTAACGGGTCTCCGGAGCTCACGCGGCGGCCAGGTAGTGATGCACGTAAGCGTCGTTAAATGGACGAGGAAACCTGGCCTCACACTGAGCTGACCTGACCCGTCTGTACATCGGGATGACCTCCTGACGGAAGGACAGGCTGCTAACGTTGCAAAGGCGTGAGCACTGGGCCAATATGCTTGCATAGGGGTGTAATGAAGAGGATTGCTTCTTTTAGAGTGGCGGTATGTGGAAGGCACATGCATACTGTCACAACACATTCCGGTAATCGTTACGATTTGACGTTCTGTCGACAAATATACTGAAGGCTATCTGGAGGCAAATCATCCATGCCTGACGTTTCGAGTTTCGTGTTCCGAAAATTCCGAAAATTCAACATAGCAAGCGTATGAAGTCTACATGCATTACCGCAAAAGATGTCATAAACTTAAATCCTCATAACACTACGTTGACCACAATTCACTCCTTGCATACGCATATGACACATTTCACGCCGTTAACATTATCGAAGAAATTATCAGCAAACGGCACGGCTGGCACGTGACAGACCGTGTTTTTTACACACTCCCTAGACAACCGCTGCGAGAGGTTAAGCTGCGAGCACCGTCGCAAGGGATTAGGACTTGCGTAGAGGATTTTTTCATAAATGCGTGGCGTCATAACCATTCCTGATGTATTCTGCAGAAAACCTTTAAGAGCGGTAGCGTATTGCGAAACATCATCTTAACCTGGCTGGGTACATTCGGGAGAGTTACGCTGCTCCTATGAAATGTGGCGAAAATATTCACGCGGCCCGCCTGTTGGGCGCTCTGATGAATTCCCAGCAATATAAACGGTGCGGGATTTCACAAGCTGCTGGTGCGGTATAATCGGCTTAATTTCCATGTCATCGTAAGGGTAAACTATGTTTCTAAAAAATTGGCGCTCTAAAAGACCTTCATGCATTTAATTGTGTTGTCTTCTCATATTCCACAATGATGCAGCTGCATTGAACGCAACAGGCTCAGCTCATTCATGTTAAAAGTACGTAAATCGGACTAAGTGATGAGATTATGAACGGAGTTAGTTTGGTCGTTCATGACTAGCTGTAACACATCTTTGCAAGCATTTCTCACGATGCCCAATGACTGATGCGATGCAGTTTTAAGCAAGCTTCTCGATGCTATTTCCAGTTGCTCATACTTTATTCATGCACTTTCATTCAGCGACATTCATGATATATTCAACTAAGGTAGCAGAAAAGCTGCGAAGTCCTCCGGTCCGGCGAACACAATAGGCACGCCAACTGCACAGGCACAGCTGAGTCAGGGAATCGTAACAGCCATAGTTGGGCTGCACTAGGTTAGTCCACTGGTACTCGCCTCGACGTAGGCTTAACCCCACAGATCATAAACTCAGTCCGGTACATAGTGCGATCGAGGTCGAGGTCCACTGGTACTCGCCTCGACTTAGGCTAACCCCCACAGATCATAAACTCAGTCTGGTACATAGCGTGATCGAGGTCGAGGTCCACTGGTACTCGCCTCGACCTAGGCTAACCCCCACAGATCATAAACTCAGTCTGGTACATAGCGTGATTGAGGTCGAGGTCCACTGGTACTCGCCTCGACCTAGGCTAACCCCCACAGATCATAAACTCAGTCTGGTACATAGCGTGATCGGGTCGAGGTCCACTGGTACTCGCCTCGACCTAGGCTAACCCCCACAGATCATAAACTCAGTCTGGTACATAGCGTGATCGGGGTCGAGGTCCACTGGTACTCGCCTCGACCTAGGCTAACCCCCACAGATCACAAGCTCAGTCTGATACATAGAATGATCGAGGTCGAGGTCCATTGGTGCTCGCCTCGACCTAGGCTAACCCCCACAGATCAAAAACTCAGTCTGGTACATAGCGTGATCGAGGTCGAGGTCCACTGGTACTCGCCTCGACCTAGGCTAACCCCTACAGATCACAAACTCAGTCTGGTACATAGCGTGATCGAGGTCGAGGTCCACTGGTACTCGCCTCGACCTAGGCTAACCCCCACAGATCATAAACTCAGTCTGGTACATAGCGTGATCGAGGTCGAGGTCCACTGGTACTGGCCTCGACCTAGGCTAACCCCCACAGATCATGAACTCAGTCTGGTACATAGCGTGATCGAGGTCGAGTACCGCGTAGATTCATTCACCCCCGCAATCAACACTTGGCGACAAATGGAGTCCGCTACTGATAGGGCTGCTGGTCGGCCAATGTACTTCAGCCCATGTCAGCTAATGCATTCCTGAAATGTACTTTAATGGCGGAGGCATGCTTAGATCTTGCAGTCTTTCCTACCCGGCCGTGCTTTTGACAAAGCCGAGCGGTTAAACGTTATAGCGTCTAAGCTGGCCGTGTCTGCATCACGAGACTCGTTTTTGCGCGGACTTATCAGGAGTATTTAGCGCCTCACTTGCCCCTGTTTCTGCCCTCACGTTACCAACCATCACACCACCGGTGCTGCACCGGTAGCGTAATGGTTAAGCTGCACGTTGGGGAAACCGAAGGTACGGGGTTCGATTCCCCGCCGTGCCCGCCTCTCCTGCCAGAATGAGGAACAGGCGATGTTATATAGCTTCGACAGCTGAGTGTGTCGTAGAACCCAATGACACACACACACACACACACACACACACACACACACACACACACACACACACACCTCGAGCCTGTGTAGCATTCCCACGATGAGTCTGTCCGCGATATCTCGAAGGGTCACGCGATGACACTATGACCGAGCCTGCCGTGCCGTAAACAGCCGCGGCACACTGAGCGCAACGGTCCGCCTCAACGGGCGCCGGCTCCAGCCGCTGGCAACAGCTGACGTCTCCGCATCGCTCAGCGCGCGGAATGTATCGGATTGGAAATCGAAAGTGACGTGTCGGTCAGACCTCGAGAGAAAGTCACTGATACCAAAACGCAAACGGCGCTATCGACGCTACGTCATAAATTCGTAACCGCATGTACCAACTGCACACAGATAGGCTCAAAGGCGGGACTGATCGAGCCAGATCAGTCAATGGCGCGGTCCTGCACCGCAATGCGGCTGCCTTTCCTGCGACCCGCTGCTGCACGAGCTGGACGCAGCCTAGACGCCGGGCAGTCACTGCAAAGGCGTGTTGCAAAACGCCTGTTGCATGCATGGCACGGGATGGTGTGTGCCCTGGCTCACGTGGGCGACAGGGCGGTGTGTTGAGACGGTCTGCCGCTTGCACCACTGAACCGGCTCCGCCACGCCGCTGCTGGCGGCCTGGTGGGGCCCTATGCGCCCAATGGGCTTCATAAGAAAGAATGGTCTTGCATGAGTTCGTTCGAACGCAGACAACTTTGTTTGCATCTCAGGAAGCTCTTTTATGATCCGATGGATGTGTACCAGATCGACATGACGAAGCTGCGCGTTGATGACCTGGTTTCCGCACCATGTGCCTTACGTGCAAATGCAAAAGTGCAGATAGAGGTCTAGATTGGGGAGCTCGAACTTTCCCCTGGCTTCATCCACACGGACGTAAACTGCGTTTCCTACCGTTGCATAATGAGCCTACCGTGACCATCAAGTCGCGGGTCGCGGGTCACGCACACTGATCCGGGGCTGGTCAGCAGACCCCGGCGTCGCTGCCGCGTGGACATACTCACGTCCTCCGGACTCCGCGTGGGTCGCGGCTGGTGGCGTGACACAGATCACACAGAGCGCCAACACCGCGACACACCAGTGGAGCACTTTCATTTTCGACGCGGCGCCGGGTGGCGCGGGACGGCGGCGGACGGCGGCGGCCCGTCTGCCGGCCACAGCGGCGACCGGCGCCGCCGGTCGCGGCCGTGGTCGCCGCTCAGGGTCACCGCTGGCCCCGGGGGCGTCCGACACCGTCGAGAGGGGCACGGGCGGCCGGCAGCCCGCCAGCGCCTCACTGGCCGCGCGCCGTGGCGCCGGCGCCGGCGCGGCCGCGTAGAAAGTGTCGGCGCGGCCGGCGACGCGCTCCGGCGGGCCTGTGCCACCTGCCGGCCAGACGGAATCAGCTCAGCTCGGGTCGGCGCCTCTCGGCCAGACGGAATCAGCCCAGCTCGGGTCGGCGCCTCTCGGCCGGACGGAATCAGCTCAGCTCGGGTCGGTGCCTCTCGGTCGGACGAATCAGCCTGGCTCAGCGCCTCTCGGCCGGCCGGAATCAGCTAGGCTCGGCGCCTCTCGGCCGGGTGGAATCAGCTCAGCTCGGGTCGGCGCCTCTCAGCCGGACGGAATCAGCTCGGTTCGGCGTCTCTCGGCCGGACGAACCAGCTCGGCTCGGGTCGGCGCCTCTTGGTCGGACGAATCAGCCCGGTTCGGCGTATCTCGGCTGGACGAACCAGCTCGGCTCGGGTCGGCGCCTCTTGGTCGGACGAATCAGCTCGGTTCGGCGTCTCTCGGCCGAGATCGCAGCCATGGGAGCGAGAGCCAAGCCAGTTTATGGCGGCAGCGGACCCGCCACCGCCACTCGGAGGCTAAGGTCACCAGGTTTTTGCCTGGCGGCTTAGTCCCGTGGCAGCGACCTCGACACAAGCGGCACGTGACCTGGATCGTGTTGCCAGGTCAGGTGTCTGCCGCACGCACGTCCATTGACAATCTGCACTGCAATATTTGGGGCGACAGATAGCCCACGGTAAGAGGTTCGAGTGGGCTCGGAGATCTACCCATTTTCGTGGGCGGAGCGAAAACGCTCTCAGTTATTGGCATCGCAGCACTCCCACTCAATGAGCTGGTTGAGTGCTGTGCCCATAGGGCATGGCTACGCTCCGATTACTGCTAGGGCGCTTATATGCATGCTCATAGCTGGGCTGTTACAGTTCAGTAGCACGAGGTCGGGGGTTTTTATGCTCGTTTTCTTTGATTTAATGGTCATCTAAAACAAATCATTTTCAACTTGCACTTTCATCTTTTATATGATACTAAGGTTATACGAAGAGACACGTAAGGAAGTTCCCTGAAATGTTAGCACGATTTCCAGACCATGGCAGACCTTTTCTCCGGCATGACAGGTACTGGAATATCAGCCGAGTATGTAGCAGCAAACCATTTATGGGAAGTGTGGCCACGGTTGAACGTCACCATGACCATGGCTGTAACTTAATTGTCCTAGGAAATTGTAACTGCACCGCAAAGCTACAAAACATTACTCTAGGCCTATGTCTCTAATTGAACTGAATGTTATCACCTAAACCGATCGTGCCCGCTGTTTTTTTTTTGTTTTTTTTGGCAAAGTTGCGCTTATGACCACGACCCATAGAACGACGTGCTGTAAGCAATACAGGTTCTCAGGCATGGAATGGCTGCCTCCGTTGACTCCTTGCGGTTCACCGAGGCGAGTATTCTCGAGGGTGCACGCACAATGTCACAATGGATGGACGTGGAGGCGGCGCAAAACTCAAACACTTTTCATTGGAAAAACGAGTTTAGCGCTTCATTCCTGCTTAACGTAAAGCGGCATTGTATGTTCTCGGTCCCAGTTTCTGCACCTAGGTGGAGTTTTTCACTGTCGACATTTAGATGCACATATATCAATGCATATTATACATTTAGTAAGGAGCTAAGGGCAACTGAGAGGGGGGGGGGGGACCGTGCGCCCTGGGCTATACGTACGTACGTCCTGGGTCTTTCGAAACTGTTTCCACCTAGCAATGAAACGCCATGCCTAACCCAGTTCCATGATTATCGGAGTCTATACGTCATTGCTGGCGGCTTGCACCACATTCAACACCTGTTTCAATGAGACAGCACAACTGGTAATTCCCACGGCTATTTGCCCACCTTGGCCTCGATGGAGAGCCGACCAGGACTACTGGCCATGCCCCGACATCTGGTGGCTGGCGTATCGGGCAAGCCAGTGGGACTGGCAGTAGCGCCATCTATAGACGGCTCTGAAGATGATCTCTCCACCTCCTTGTTGGCCGAAACGTGTGACACATCGAAATTGTGAGACATTTTAAATCGAATCTGAACATTTCATATTCAGTGTAACGGAGCCTCACAACAACGCCAATTCCCGGCACGCCTCAGTAAAGTTCGAAGCCAGATTGTCATGGCATGCTGTGTGGTGTCCACAACATCCAGCTGCACCTATGCGGCGCGGGCGCGCCATTCTCCGGTTCACCATCGCTTTACTGTGCTGCACCATCCATGTCGTTAGCTATGTTAGCTGCTGCAAAAACAAATTTACTTTACTGCATTTCCATTTAAATGCGTGCCTGCAAACTGGACCCGATGTGCTTCAAATGTAATCTGACATCGCTTAGCTGCAAGCGTCACACAAAGAGGGTTTTGTCATGAGTTACGGCACTTGAAATGTCAATGTGATGTGATGCCTGTGTCAAAGAGCTGTCTGCCTCGTTAGGTGCTGCTGTGCTGTGCAGTGCAGAAGCCAGATGGCTTGGCCTCTGGAACGTAGCTAATAACTTTTACTACTAGGCAAAACATGCAATATCAGGCATCCAAGCTGCGCTGACTTGCAGATCGTTCATGCCACCCATTGTTCCCTTTGCACCACATTCCCGTTATGTGTCCGGCCGGTCTGCGCCGCTCTAATCACTTCATACACTCGTGAGTTCTAATCAGCAGGCGGACGTTTGTTTCGCTCCCACCCTTTAACAAGCGCGACCAGCTGCTGTCATTCGCCCGTTCGGCTATCCCCGTCAGTAAACCCGTTCCAATCACTCAGATTTAAAATGAAATATTTAGGTCGAAGAAAACTATATGAAGAATAAAACGTCATGGTGAGGTTCTGTCAGCCCAAAACGCACGCATGAAGACGCCGATGATTTACTAAATGAGTGGTCATGTTTTCATAGGTATCAGAACGTTTCAAGAAGTAGCGGGGCCAGGCTCAATATATATTTCAGGAACTTTTCCTGAGTAGGCAATTCTTGCGACCAGGGCAGGAGATGGAGGGCTTTTCCGCTCTCAGTCCATAAAACATTTTAGAGATGAGTAAATGGCCTGGCTTCTATGCATGCTTCTATGCATGCGACTGCTTCTCCCAGATGCACAGTTTTATCTACTCGACCCATTCGTACCATTCCGCAAGCAGTCTTCTCATTTCCTGAAATTAACCATGCATCTTAGCTTTGTTTTTACTGAGGAATCAAGCTCCATGAGTGAGAGCCATTACCGGTCATTCGGGAGGTATCTGTTTCCATAGTTAACATTATAAATAATCCAAGCCTCAGCATTTTCAATTGGATGAAGTTCCCGAATCAGAGCCTACATCAATCAAGGTTTCATGCGTCATCCCTTGCCGCACGACCAGATCGTGAAATTCCTTTTAACAGCGGAATGTTGCACCAAAACTTTACCGTGCCACAACGCTCGGCACGGTTCGCTCCATCCTCTGACCTCGACAAGCATTGACCTGCCACGGCCCCAGACCATTCTCCAGGCCGGGGCAGAAGCGAGTGCCGGAGCGACTCAATCTCACCAATCAGCCTGAAGGCACGATGGGAGGCAGGAGCTTACCGATCGAGCTAGGGAGGCTGACGAATATGGTCTGAACCTGCCCAACATGCTGAAACGTGGTCTCGAACTAGACTAGTCAGAATTTAGAATCTAAATCCATGGCCCAAAGTGTCCTTCATTTTCTCATGTTTTTGGATTCCACGCAATTTCAGATGAGTTTGATCGCAGCATTTTTCCCAAACGCAGCTTTAAATACCGTTTGCCAAAAATGTGACAAAAGCCATAAAACCGAGGTTTCCCATGAAACGAACAGCCACAGAATGAAGGTCCTTCTTTTAAATACCCCCGCCCGAGCTTTGCTGCCGCTCGCCGTCGGCAGTTATTGCCCTGACCCGGCCGCTGCCCAGCGGCGGCGGCCACTACTCTCATGATTAGCTGCGAACTGATCGCATGGCTGCTTTGTCGCATGGTTGTAGGCCAGCACCACTTCTCATGGGCGTGTAAAGCACGCGGCTCAAACGAAAATTAAATTCCAAAAGTGACAACATGTTTTCATTGTTATTTTCATGGTTTTGCAGGATCGCAAGATGTAGCCCTTGCGACCTTCCGGCATCGCCACTGGTGCTGTCTGACTGACTGTCTGCTCTGGTGGCGTGAAGCGAGCATCAACATAAGCCGCAGCAAGCTTGGGCTCATGCCGTTCTGGCCGGTCGCGATTTTCTTGTCCTGATCCGCTGAGCTATGCCGCCTGGCAGGGTCAGGCCCGAAAGTACGGCGAAGAAAGTACACCCGGAACAATGCGGTTTCTGCAGAGGCCTCAGTTCACGGATTTGGACGACATTGCTCGGTTTTTAAGGGCACGGCTCTGCGAAATGTACTTGTTAGCAGTAGAATTAAAATGCTGTTTTTTTTTTTGCCTGTTTCCCGTGCTGTCTCTCTTTTTTGTCAGCATTTCATTATTGGCTGGAACATCTTATTCAGGGGATCATCGACTTGTAAGGAGCTTTCGACATACCTTATGCAGGCAAGGACGGCCTTGAGCTTCTGGTTCTTCCGCATTATGATTTCTTATGCTGAAAATAGCCCACCTTCATTATATCAGGAGGAACGGGTTGAATGACGACATCGATCAATCACCAGGTTATGTATTATAATAGCATTCGACGTTTTAAGCACTAACTGTCACGATTCAGTCCTGGTCAGTCATAGTCGTTCGTGGCCATGTCAAACATCTTTTGTGGGATGCCCTTATGATTGAGCTGTTGGTGTACATCCTTTGGAGGCAGTTGGCGGGCGGCAGTCGTTTCCAAAAGTTGTTGACCGTCGCGCTGC